TCACAAATTCCAATCAAGAAGCACAGGGACGGGATAATGCCGTACTTTAATGCACCTGTTTACTACGAGAAATCATTGCGATCGCAAATTTGGCACCAGCGCTTCAAAATTCACTTGTTTTCAACGGCGTGCATTGTTTCTAACAGGTGTTTCTTGTTAAAATACCACTTTTCTGCTATTATTTACAACAGTTTTTGTACATCTAACTGGTCGATAAGATACATGAGCGTTTTGTTTTATGCAGGTAAGTTATTACAAAAAAATCGATGTTTATTGTTGTTTTTGTAACTGTGGGACAAATGCATCCCTGCAGTAATGGCGGTTGGGATATAAACGTCCCTGCAGTATCGGACGATTATGAAGCAAAATATCTTTTTTAGGATGGTCTCATGGAGAAAAAGAAGTTTAAGGCCAAATGAGCTAGCAGAACTGGCGGAAAACTTGTCGCATATATCGGATATATTCGACGAGGACCGTGATCCATGCTATGATAGCGATGACAGTAGAGATCCCAACTATGAAGGCAGCTGTGATAGTAGTTCCGAGAAAGACCCGGAAGAAGAAAAATTTCCGAAGACGGGTTCGACAGTGATGAGCAGTCGGAACAGGAGGGAGAAAATGATATCCAGAATATTGGCGATCATCGACAACCTGATGCTGAAAGACTAGAAGAATATTTGTGGTCTGTACACGCCGAAAACTTCCAACCAAAATATTCTATTCCACCAGAAGAAGAGTGTGTTATAGATGCTAATATACCAAGAGGCTCAAGTGCCATAGAGGGTTTTCTAAATATATTTCCGAGGAGTCTTATTACGCAAATTGCTTATCATAACAACCAACGTTTGGAAATTCTTAGAAAATCTAAGTCCAAACTAATAAACCCTACATACACGGGAGAAGTAATGATTGTTTAGGGATGTAGTCTGGTTATGGTATACAATCGTTTCCCTTTAATGCATATATATTGGTCAAGAAATAAATCACTTGGAAATCAGGCAATAAGGGAAAGTATATCGCGAGATCGTTTTATGCTAATATCTTCCAAACTTTACTTCAACAATCCGGATAAACCACAGGATTAGTCAAAAACCTACTATATTGATGAGGTTGTTAACTGTTTGCGAGAAAAGTTTCTAGAAGCCAGAACTGACAGTTCGTATCAATCTTTAGATGAATCTATGGCAAAATTCAAGAGACGCTCAAGTCTGAAGCAATATTTACCTATGAAGCCTGTAAAACGAGGCATAAAACTTTGGAAAAGATGCGATACAACCACTGGATATGTGTATGACACAAGCATTTATAGTGGAAAAGAAGTGGAAACAGTTGAAGGAACGCTAGGTGAGCGAGTTGTTTACAAGCTTTCGGAAACAATAAAAAAAGCCTAATGTTGTTTTATGTTCTGATCGATTTTTTACTTCAGTAAATTTGCTAAATAATAAAAAAATTCCTGCTCTTGGAACGTATATGCAAAATAGAAAAAACCCTCCGCAGTTTTTGGGAAAACTAGAACAAAGAGGTGAATCTGAAATTGCGGGTTGTCAACGGGGTATTCTTGCAATGCGATGGAAAGATACTAAAGACGTGTTGGTTGTGAGTAATTGCCATGACAACACTTACCTGTTGAAAAGGGAGGTAGAAGATGTGTACGATGTCAAATAAAAAAAATTGAGAAGAGAACAAAAATTGTTTGTCAAAGTTGTTTGGTACTACTCTGTATAGAGTGCTTTACTCCATATCACACCTAAATATGTGTTTATATACAATTTTTATTATTATATAAGTATAGAATATTACCTTCTTTCTTCAATACTGTTGGGACGTATTTATCCCAGGCTATATTACTGCTGAGATAATGTCATCCCAAGTCTTTTTTTCCAAAAATAGGAAATAAAAAATCTGAAAATTTATAATTGCGTTTATTTTTGCCTATTAATAATAAAAATAATACCTATTAGTTTTTACCTAATAAAGAAAAAGTCGTATTGAAAGGGTTAACACGTACATAGGTACTTTTTCTTTTACAATTCATTGACAAATGTGAATACACATTGTGAACATCAGACAAATATGAATATAAAACTAAGAAAAACTAGAACACAATAAAAAAAAATGATTGCACCAAGAGCTGAATCCACACGACTTCTGGTTTGAAAAGGCAACGCCTTATCCAGAAACCACATTCGCTAGATGCATTTGTTTGCGAGACGGTATAATAACGATGCGAAAGCCAAAGTAGGAACGAGTTTAGTGGTTTGTGCAACTAAAGTTGATATGGACAATCCATTCAAATTGTATAGTATATTTTTTCTACGACCCACTAACGAAAATCTACAAATTTAAAAAAAATATTTTAGGTTTTTAAGACAAAATAACTACCTATTAAAATAATTTATGACTTTAACTAATTTAAAAAATAAAATAAACATGAAAAAAAGATTTAATTTAATTAGTCCCCAGCTCAGATTGAAACCCAGACCTCTCGCGTAAAAGACAAACGCCGTGTCTTCACCTCCACTTAAGATTTTAGGTTTAATACTCTTAATTAAATTAGTTTTATATAGATAGTTCGATTAACATTTAAGACTTATTTGTAAATTTAGACAAAAAAGAAATGCTATTATTTATCGATTCTACACAAAAATACTTAATTTTTACGTATATTTAATCTTAATAACTAAAAAATATACTGACAATTAGTATGACAGAATTGTCACTCATATAAAATTTAAAAAATAATAGTAGCCGAGTGGCCAAAATATGAACTGTGTGATTGGTGGATTTAATTTTTTTGCAGTGTTCGTACTAGGTGAAATGGATATGAAATATATTCGTTAAGTTGAACGCAATGGCATACTTTTTCGTTTTGTAGTTTTTGCATAGATAAGCTAATACCCATGTGGGCGTAGAAAAAAATGTATTCATACTTATTTTTTACAGAATCTACAGAATGAATATGTAACTATATATCAGTCTATTAAACGAATAAAACGTTATATTTATTCTATAATATGTATCGGATCGATGGCGTAGGTGTCTAACGCGCTCGCATTAATTTGCGAGCAATTTCGTGGTTCCGAGACGGCTTTGAATCCTACAGAAGACTATGTGAATTTATTTGCATGATTTTCTATAGAATTTGATGAATGCCGTATTAGCAGAAATTTCTGTAGATATGATATCCAGATTATAAAAATCGCCATGCGTTATCGTTCCGAAGATGGTGTAAGTCAAATGGCTGAATTATATTGAGTTTTATCATTATTATTAATAAATCCCCGCCAACTAAATATTGTACACCCACACGGATATTATACATATATTCTAACATAACCTCACCAAAAGTAGGCCATTACATTCTACTGAATGAATATAAAATATTCATTCTATTACTTTTTTAAATTTTAAATAAGTGACAATTCTGCCAAACTAATTGTCACTATATTTTTTAGTTATTGAGAATAAATATAATTTAAAATGTGTTTTTGTGAGAAATGATAAAAAAAATAATAGCATTTCACAAGATATTCGTCTATATTTACAAATAAATCGTAAATTTTATTGACACTAAACCAATCTAATTATCAGTATTAAAAAAAAACTTGTCTCGTTATTGCAAAGATAGAGTAGTGAGTTTTCATGCGAAATCCAGGACGAGGGCTAATTAAAATATTTTTAAAATATTTATTTTATCTTAACATTTAAATTAATTATAAAATTTTGTTGGTTTTTGTTTGTGGGTCGTAGAAAAAATTTACTACACAATTGAGTTCCTACAGCGTCGTGCTTAAACTTTGTCTTCACATAATATGTTCTTACTACACAAATTACTGTTTTTTGTAGATTAGTGATTCGTAGAAATAGTCAAACGGGGTTAAATGAATCACAATGGGTAAAGTAAACCATTCGGTCATTTCCGTTATAAGTAACGAATATTATATTTTTAGTTCGTAAATTGATTAAAAGCTGTTTTTTAACTATTTTTAAATAAACGTTTTTGTTCTTTGTATTACTTTTATTTATTTGTTTTCCCAACCAAATGTTTAAAATATTTTTTTAGTGGTTCACTTTACCCCGACATTTGCCAAAGTGATTTTCTTTGCGATTTAAAACATGATTCACTTTACCCCAAAATAAGGGGTAAAGTGAATCACATTTTACCAAAAAAAATTGGGCACTTCTAAGTAAACTAAACATATAAAAATTGGTTAATAGTAAGAGGTAAGCCCCAAACAACATACGCTACGCTATTTTTCACAGATTTTTAATATTTGTAGTTTTGGAATATTCTGAGAAAAACAGCTTTTTGTGATTCACTTAACCCCGTTTGACGGTTACTATACAATACTATACTATACAATTCGAGAGGATTGCTTGTATCGAACTGAATACTTTATTTAATTTTTGTGGATCGTATGTTTTGAAAATAACCCGAAACGTAACATACCGTAACAAAGTCAGTCTTTACAAAAGTTACGTTTTCCAATAAAAAATTTCCTTTGTACAGAAACAAATGTGGCATTGTCTAATTAATCCCTTTATTATTTATTATTGTTTCTGAAATTGTAGGTGTTCGCTTATTGAACTATTTACCCCTAATTCTGAAATAATATTTGCATTATTTTTAAAATTTCCAGTCAATCATACCTATTATACAAAAAATGCAGACATAATGTTGGAAGTTTAATACAACAACTTGGTCTATATCCACTCAACGTTTTGACCTGACTTTCGTTAGCAGAAACGGTAGCATTGAGAGAAAAAAGTTTTGAGTAAAATACTTTATTAAACAGTAATTGAACGTGGTTGGTTTCCCAGATATGTAACGGTACTCAGTTGTTATTTGGTCACTTTTCAACTCCCGCCTTAAGGACTCATGTTCATGTTCAACAATTAATGAGAGCTCTCTGAGACAGAGCGTTGTCGGTCGAAAATACTAATACCCTGTATAAGTTGATCTGAGGTGAGGAGCTGTTACAGATACCTTTTTGTTTTAGGTGATAACATGATTGAATTTTTCTTAACCAATTGCAAGTATAGTATTGAAAAAACGAAACAAAACTTGGACATGTATTATACGGTAAGAGATTTAATGCCTCTTATTTACAAAGGAGTACATCCTTGCAAACCTGAAATAGAACCAGCATATAAAACAGGGTAAGCATAATATAACTTTATCCTTATTGAAGTATTCCTATAAATCTATTTCTGTAAATGTGTTCATATATTCAACATTATCTTTTCAAAATAAATGAAAACAAGAAATTCTATGAATCATGTGTCATAAAATAATATTAGCAACCATTTATCTTTGGAAAACAACTACTTCTTCGGGCTAATATCGCTACAAAAATTAAATATATCCAAAGAAAACAGCAAATATATGAATTAAATTTCAACACTCTAACATTGATTTTGCTTACTAAGAAGAACGTCATTCTTGGACTAATTTCTTTCTTATTAGAACTCATCAGCACGAAATAGACAATCTCGACTCCAGTAACTAAAAAACTTTACAGCATACTACATATTTTTTTGAATATTCTTGCCAAATGTTAATAATCAATGTTGCGTACGTTTTTCATGTAAAATTGATAGTTTTGCTGCGTCCATATTGAATTTTAGTTTAGGACCTAAGTTATAGGTGTCGAATGAGGCAAAATTAGTGGAAGTTTCGACGCCGTGTTGCCATATCTTAATATTGTCTTGAATTTATAGAAACTATATTATTATGCATATTTACAATTTACACAAAAATTAATTATATATACAGGGACTCTAATTTTTTAACTTTTTTTTATTTAGATGAATTTTTAATCAAATTTGGTGCTTTGTCCAAAACAAAATACTAAATTAAATAAAATTTAAAATAAATGCCTTTATGCGAGGGGCATCAAAAATGCACTTAACTTTGCTAATTGAATACACTCATATAAAGTCACAAAATACTCATTTAAAACGCATATAAAAAGATTTGTGAAAAATCGGTTAAGAATGTATTTTTTAAATGTTTGCTCAGTTTTTCTGTAAATAAAGTATGAATTCGATAAAATGTGCATGGGTTAGTTATGCATTCAATATGTGAATTGTCATCAGAGAAATAATTATTGATACAATAAACTGATGCCACTTTGACGATTAGTAATGTAATAATAAATTTTTGAGACTATCAGTGATATTAATATCTTTTTTATTCCTTAAAGTATTTTATGAGTTCATAGTTTCAAAAAAAATCAGGTAAAATAACACTCATGAATCTTCATCATCTAAGATGATAGCTCGATGATAGTTGACAACGTCGCCAAGAGGTGCTTCTCTTATATCGGCCGGTGTTAGCCGATACACAAATCTTCTAATAAGTGAGGGCGTCGACCAATCGTAAAGGATATGCTCGATGATCTCATCTTCTTGTTCGCACCCTCTGCAGTGTGCGGATTCTGACATCCCCATGATATGGAGATGCTTCTTTACTTGGCAATGACCAGACAGAATGCCTGTGACTAGGCGCAGATTCTATCTACTTATAGTCAAGTACTTGTTAGCTGCAGGATAACTTAAGAGCTCCCTGGCAACTATGCAGTTTATTGTTTCATTCCATCCTTTAATTAGATCTGTCACTGCCGATTTTGTCAGGTCAATAGAAGGGCTAGGTCCAAAAAGTATTTGGTTGGATGCTTTCTTGGCGGTGAATCAGCAAGACGGTTACTCTTTATTCAAAATACAAAGATTTATGGTAAATATATAAGCATAAAATGATTTACCTTCAGCGTTGTTATCCTTACTGCCCCAACTAAAGTGATGAGCGTTTAAGTAGTAACCTATTACCAGCTCAAACTTCTGTTTCAGACAGTATTCAATCAGATCCTCCATCTCTTTACTGGTGGCGTGGTTGCGTCCGAGGGGAGGTATGCAGATGCCAGGATTAACGTTTTCTTTCTCCTTTTGATGGCTTATTCCATCCTAACCGCAGTTATATCGGAGGTGAAAAGGTGTGCCATTGAGTGGGCTGTGTATTTTCTAGGAATGTAAATGGCTGTCCTAGGTTGTTGGTTGCTGGAAAACTAAAAATTGGACCATTTAGATTTTTAGGATCTAACATTTTTGTTTTTATTATCCAGAGTTCCCTGCTCATCAAGGTGGCGGCATAATGTTGCAGTAGCCACCCTTTTGTGTTGCAAGTGACATTGTATGATCGTTACCTCTTTTATTGCTTCCCGGTCCTTCGTTGATAACTGGGCACCAAAGTGGTTATTTAATCGACCATACCTGCCTCCAAAAGTGAGGAGAGGGTGATCTCTTGTGGCTCCTCGGAGTTTCCTCATCGATTGTCATTTTTTCTGGATTGACGTCCTCCCCTTTTGGCTTAAATTGGGGGGGAAGAAGGTCCTTTACCAAGGAGTCTTAACTGGGCCCAGCTTCAGCCACTTTTTCGATCTTTGGCCTTATAGTCAATGAAGTAAACGCATACATAGCTCATCCTCATTGATTTGGCCTTTAGGTTTCCCATGTCTTCGTCTCCGATTTCGAAGACAAAAACACGGCCTTTAGGGTATTTTTTGATTTTATGGTGGAAGGTGCGCCATTTTGCTACATGCAAGTTTGGGTTTTGCCCCTAAAGTCTCATCAAGGTCAGCTTGCGCTTCCCCTGGGATCCAGAGAGAGGCCTTGGTGAGCTTGGGGAACTCGTCCATCCTTACAACTGCGAGTGTTGCTCCTTCCCATGTTTTTATAGCTGGTATCTTGGTTTTTAGCCATTCCAACGTCAGGTCATCGTCGCAGGCTACTCTGATGATTTCACTAGAGTGCGTCCAAGATCTGAATGTGGGTGGCTTGGTTTTGCTGCAGGAGGCGGACAAAATTGTTTTGTCCAGCTCTCCTATCAGTTCTTTTTTACAAGGATTTCTCTTTCGGTATTAATCTTACCGTAAGGGTTATCCTTGGTACTTTCCAGGCTCATTGTAGATTTTTCTTCTACTGCTTTCCTAAGTGTTTTTTATTTAATTTTAGAATACTATAAAGGCAATTTATTTCTGTAATGGCAGTATCCCCTAAAAGTATTTCTTACACATTATCAGGAGAGGCTGCCAAAAACTTGTTTACTTCGTTTACAAATATGCCGTATGTTCTAATATTTGAAGATGATCTTCGCTTCCAAAATTATTGCAAAGCAACTCTTTGCTCTAACCATAAAGTATGCCTTCTGACATGAAATTGGTCTTGTAAAGAATTTTTTTTACTAGGTTATGACAAGGAGTAGTTTATCTCCTCTTTACAACTTCCCACAATACAGATGCAGTTAACCGGTTTCGTTTTTCACTTCTGTATTGAGGATTGTCCACTGTCCCCTTGTTTACTTTCTATTAAAATAATGTCCTGCTTTGAAACCTAAAAATAAAATATTTTAAATTATACATACTTGTTTCATGATCTTAGACTTCTCACTTATCTTACAAATACCTTTCGGCGTCCCATATTTTACTAATAGAGTAATCTTGAATATAATTTTAAAATATTTAAATAAGAAACCAAGCAACTTACCAAAGTGCAGGTATAATGATTTGCAAACTAGGCAATTAAAATACATATTACATACCATTAATATCATTAAGTTATTAATAACGAAAAAAACGCATTTAAAAGGGAATTATAGTCACTATATTAATGGGCGTATGAAGAACCTTAGAAAATTTAATAGTTATTAAAAAGTAAAAGTGTTATAATGTTTAATTGTATGCCGTTTTACCTCGAACTTATTAATATAATAATAATAATAATAATAATACTCTCCCTAATTCACCCCCTTACGAGTGAATTTCAACCCCTGAAGTTGACTGAACGACTTGTGTAGGGGAAGGGATGGCTAGTATTATTATTATTTGCCGTGGCGCTCCGGGGCAACTTAAGGATGATTGATGGTGCCATTTGATTTACAGGTGAGAAAAACCCGGAAAACCTCACTCACCATCATAAAATGATATAATAATTTTATGTGATGTTTTGTTCACAATTTTTACTCAAAAAATATGAATTTGCTTTCTGGCTAAAATTTATGGACTGTAAGATACTGTATTAATGTCTACATATACAGGGTGACCCGTAAATATACCGGCAAACTTTTGGAGTGGTAGGGGACATTAAAATAAACAATTTTTGTTTTAAAAATGTATGTCCGAAAACTCTTCGTTTCTCAGATAAAAGTTTTAAATAAAAATCGAGTTTTATTCAATATCTCGACAACGTTTCAATCAATTTCAATGAAATTTTTAGTTTGTAATCTTTGGACCTTTTAGCGTATATCCAAAAGAATATCAACCTGTATATTTTTAAATTTTTATAATTTTTTTGATAAAACAATATAAAATACAATTTTTTTATTTTTTTTTTGTGTACCGCCTTTCGTTTTGAGTTGTATTTTAAGTTGCTTCGAAGACGTGCATGCACAAGTTTAGATATTATTTGATTTCTCGAAAACGAAAATATATTCGCAAAAATATAAGGAGAATAAAGTTGTATTTTAGTTGCTTAATTCCTTTCAAGCCACAGCTCTAAGTAATAACCAGTTTAAAATTAATACTAAACAAGAAGAAGACTTCAAAAATTTTATAACAACCTTAAATGCCAAAGACATAAATTGTAATTCCTATGCAATTAAACAGAACAGAGACATTAAAGTTATGGTTAGAGGTCTACGATCTAAACCAAAAGATATTGTTGAAGACTGGCAAACGAAATATAATTAACCGAGGATAACACTCGTAAACTAAATAAAAAATCATTGCCGTTATTCATGCCATCCTTCGAAAATATTGAAGATATAAAGAAAATCTACGAAATCAAAGCAATACTTAATCTAAGAATTAGAATAGAAACCATAAGAAAGTCAAAACTAGTTCCGCAATGCAAAAACTGCCAGCTATTTGGACATACACAAGCAACTTTTGCAAAAGAGAATCAAGATGCGTAAAGTGTGTAGGAAAACATCATACGAAGGATTGTGTAAAAAGTCGAGAACAACAACCGATGTGTATAAACTGCCTAATGGGACATCCTGCTAATTACAGAGGATGTGAGGTAGTTAAAATCTTTTAGATAAGGAAGGAGAACACCACTAAATCTAAAATAATGACGAGGCAGAAGAGACCCATAAATATTTTTCG